ATTTAGGAGGTAGTATCTTTCTTGTATTGTTTAATTGAATGTCATTGAAGTACATACTTGATAAGATTCAATTTTTGAAATGTGTCAACAAGATGTGACCTGGTGTCTGGCCTGTTTTGTTAAATGTGCTTCAAAAGATGCTTATTGTGGAAGTGGGTAAGTCACTTGTATTGTTTTTGAGACAGGGTCTTACTATGTAGATCAGACTGGCTATTACTGATATGCTACATATATCTGTTCACCTCCACTTCCCAAGTGTTGAGCTTAAAGGGGTGTGTCCCCACACCTGCTGGCCATATCCATATTATCAGCTCCTTCCCTCCAACCCCTGCTGAGTGATGCTGAGGCTCTCCTCTAGGAACACCTGTGTGTTAGACAAATGCACTGCCAACTGGTGAGCTGCATCCGAAGCCCTAAATTTCTCTCTTTGGCAATATAAGATGTTGGATTTTAACACCCAGTCTGGTGGTCAGTGTTTGTATACAGTATACCCTGTGGTCCCAGGCACATTTGGCTCTTTTTTTATTCTGCCTCTTTTGTGCACTCCATTTTTTGCTTGTTGCTTGTTTTTTCATTCAGATCAAGTATTTTGCATTATTCCATTTGTCTCCTTTATTAGGTTGATAGATGTATACTGTTTTTATATCCTTTGGAGGTCTGTCTATGAATTTTATAAATTGTTCAAATCAGGAAGTCCTTGCTACTTCTAAAATAATGAATGCATAGAATCTTGAACGCTGTGTACCCTGGATTTCCCATTCCTTTTCTTGGACCCTGTCAAGTGACCCAAGATTTATAATGGCTTTGTAAAATTGGCTTTAAGCATTGTCTGTAGTTTTTCATTTTTATTCTTTTATCCAGGGTCATTTTCTTGTGCTTGAAGGAACCTATTACATTTCCTAACCTGTTTGCCTGCCAGGTGTCACATTCTTTGTTTATGTGAGTATAGAAAAGATCCTGTGAGCTATTTTGCTTGTCTTTATATTTCAGTTTAATTTGAGGAACCTTTTACTGAATGTAAAACTCTAGGTAACTAGTTCTCTTTGACAACAAAGTTTGTAATTCCATAGGAGACAGGCTAGGAGGTGATGCTACTCAGTGGTAGAGAACGTAGAACTTGCCGAGCTTGCAGAGGGCCCTTGGCTTCATCAGTGAGCGCGAGTCACATAGTAGTCAGCTTAGTAACATACATGTAAAGTTTCTCCTTACCCTTTCATGACCTGAGAGCTCTAGTGCTGACCGCTTCATTACCTGAACGCAGCACATTTTATCAAAAGAACACCTTGGATGCCTCCAGGTTTTGTCGACTGAATGCCGCCTTTGTAGATCCACATGAAGGTTTTATTGTGAACAGCTTTCAGTTCTTTGCAGTAGACATAAAGGGGTAGTTGCTGAGTCTCGTGCTGAGCGTGTGCTTTTTCCTAAGAAACAGCCAGTCTGCTTGCTGCACTGGCTCTTCGTCCGGCCTTCTCACTGCAGCGAAGGCCGTTTGCTGGTCCTGGCCTTGCCGGCACTGGGTAGTGTTGGTACTCTGTGTTTTGACTGTTTTAATGCGGGTCTATTGCTGGTCTCCTTGCTATAGTTTTACATCTTCCAGGTGTGATGGGAGAGCGTCTTTTATGTTAATTTGTCATCTGTATCTCTGGTGAAGTGTCTGCTTTGGCCCATTTAAAATTGGGTTGTTACTGTCAAATTTTATGAGTGCTTTCTATATTTGGGCAATATCTGTTTATCAAAATATGCCTTTTGTCTGTTGTTCATCTTCTAATCCCCCCACCTCCCAAGACAGGGTTTCTCTGTGTAACCCAGGCTGTCCAGCAACTCTGTAGATAAGGCTGGCCTCGAACTCACAACTCAAGAGATCCGCCTACCTATGCCTCCTGAGTGCTGGGGTTAAAGGTGTGCCACTGCCACCACCTCCACTACCCAAAAGATAAGCTGTTTTTAAGTTGCGTCCAGTTGTGTTCTTAAATGGCCAGAGACTGGTAGGAGCTTCTTGCTCTTTTCTTTCTCTCCTTCCAACTTCTTGAATCGGCAAGGACTCTGAAGACCGGTGTCCCCAGGTTGACACATTCCACTTTGTTACTGATCTTAGGGTTCATAGTTAACATATGCACTTGTCATTATTCTGTAGGGACACTTCTATATAGTCTAAGATGCTTTTTTTAAAAAATTCTTAATGTGCTGCCTTTTGCTATGAAGTGATGCTGTCAACATGCCTTTGCAGTGTTGACGATGTAGCTTGTGTGTTTATGCATTTGATCATGTTACTAGCCTCACCCCCAGCCCCTTGTGCTCTCACAGCTGAATTAGATCTGATGGTGTTAGTCTATTCTGGAGAAATGCTGGTTTTCTTCACTAACTTTACTAGTTTTTGTCTCTGGTGATAAGGACCTTGTGAAATGAGTTGAAATGTTTCTCCTGTTTCTATTAAGAGATTGACTGTTTTGCTAGTTTTATCTTTCAGGAAATTGCTGTAGGTTTCAGATACTGTATAATGCTTTCTTAGTTTTTTGATTGGATAAGCTAGTAGCTCATTAATACTTTTTAAAGATTTTGATTTAAGGATATTAGGTCAGACAGGAACAGAAGTGAACAGTGAATAGCTTTCAAAGAAACTAAAACCTAAAGATAATTATCTACAGTGGAATACAGGTATGCTTTTCTTTCTGGGACCCTCGTGTGCAGTACCTTAAATACAGTGTCAAGTGTAAGATGTCAGTACCCAGGGCCGTGTACTGTGTGAGTGAGTGGGTTACCCGTAGGAATGATGTCAGTACCCAGGGCCGTGTACTGTGTGAGTGAGTGGGTTACCCGTAGGAATGAATGATCCCAAATAGGCAAGTCTATGGATACTGGGAGTAAAGTAGTGGTGCTTCCTAGGAAACGGTGTGGAAGTGATGAGTTTATAAAGAAGGGACAGCTTGAAGGTACAGGTCCCTCTGTGACTTAATGAGATGCTCTGAAATCGCAGTCATTGCAGTCTGTCTCTGATTATACACTAAAGATCTTTGGAGTGTACACCTAAGTGGCCAAATTATGTGGGATGTGAGAGATACATATTTGGAGACAGGATCTCACTGTGTAGTCTTGGCTGTTCTGGAATTCCCTATGTAGACCATGCTGGCTCCAAAAGCTCATTAGTTATAACTCAGTAAAGCTTAAAGACATCATTTTCTGTTAATGGGAGTGTAGAGGCAGGCAAGCATAGGAACACACCTTAGACCTAGCATCTTAGCTTCAAGTCACCAAACACTGTAAAATGCCATATGACTGTATTAATTGTGTGCGTGTGCGTGCGTGCACGCGCGCGTGTGCATACACAAGCATGCACGTCGAAGCACACATGTGAAAGTCACAGGCCAGTTCTCTCCTTCCCCCATGTAGGTCCCACGGGTAGATCTCAGGTTGTTAGGCTTGCAGTGAGCGTGTTTACTTGATGAGCCATTTTGCCAGCTCAGTGGTTTGATTTTATTTATTTGTTTTTTTTATTTTAGACGATTTACTTCAGAATGTGAGGGAGATAAAACTAAAAGGACTTTCTGAACTTAAGATTAAAACAGTTGATTTTGAGACAACAATGACAAAAAAAGATTATGCATGTCATATAGTTTCAAATGGAAGGAGGGGGACTCAGAGGAGAAAGTTCTAGAATATTTACTGTAGTACAGTTCTATCTTCATGCTTTGTTGGACTTTCTCAGAAGGCTGGCTGTGTTCTTGAGTTGAGAAAGCAGGTTGTAATCTCCAGGTTGTTGGGTGAGGAGGTACTTGAGCCTGTGATGCCAGGACTGAGTTTGTCGTCACTCACCATGTGCTACAGAGAGACAGATGCAGTGTCAGAACAAAGCCAACCAAAGAAAACACGACAGCTCTGTATACAGTGTCAGGGCTGGGCGGGGAGCGCCATCTGTAGATGACTGTGGAACCCTGGGAATTGTATGCTTCTCTGGTTGATAGTGTGTGGCTGTGTTGTGTTGTCTGTAGCCCTGACTTTCATTCCCTGCTCCTGGAGGATCTAAGCCTCGGGCACACGGATGGCTGCTGGGCTTTCCTGTCTGAAATGGTCTGAGATCAGAGACCTTTTGAGTGATAATAAACGGGACACTCAAAGTTTCTGATTGTTTTGGAGCAGTTTTAGATTCGGGGTGTTTGGGGTTGGGGCCACTTGCAGGTGTTACAGATGAGCTGGCTGCTTCCAGAATTTCAGATAAGCCGGGGCACTCATCCTTGTTGGTTACAAAACGCCCTGCTTCTTTGTCATCGTGCGCGTCCACCTACTGCTGCATAGAGTGGGGAGTCGGGGTTCTCTTCTCTAGAGTGGGCCTGTGCTGCTCTAGGTAGTCAGCGTGGGTCCAGGACACTGCCAGGGTCTCTGACTTGCACAGAGCCTGTGTGCTGTGGGTATTTTCATAGAGACTGAAGACATGGTCCATGTGAGTAAGCTTTTCCTGCGCTGCTGCCATCTTTAACTGCATTTGCAGGCTGTCCTGTTCTCTGGCAAACAGTTCTCCGTGTTTCCCTGATTCTTTCTCAATCTTTCTTTTGATTTTTAGTTCTGGGAAGCCTTCGCCAGCTCTTCTTTGAGCTTTCTCTGTGTATAGTTTGATTCTCTCCAGAAAAAAAATTGATTTTTGTCTTTTCGTAGTACTGCTTGGTTGTTAATGCATGTTGACTGAAAGAAGTGGTAGCTAGTGAGGAAAGGTGGCCGAGAGCATTGAACTGAAAAGACGGGCTGCAGGTGGGGCCCAGGGCACGGTGAGTTTAACCAGAGCCGAGTGTGGCCCCCAACGTGGTCCTGCTGGCATAAGGAGGGAACACACACCATGTGTCCGTCTTGGGCACAGTGCGCTCATCTCTAACACACGTGAAGTAAGGCCGTGCGTTGGATGCCTCAGTGGGGCGCTGAGATGGAGATGCAGTGCTTGTACTGTCAGGGTGGTAGGGCCTGTCTGTCCAGACCTATTACTAAACACACGTATGTCACTTTATCTCACTCAGTTCAAAGAAGAAATCTCTAAACGTTTCAAATCTCATACTGACCAACTTGTGTTGATATTTGCTGGAAAAATTCTAAAAGATCAAGATACTTTGAGTCAGCATGGAATTCATGACGGACTTACTGTTCACCTCGTCATCAAAACACAGAACAGGTATGTCTTCCTAAAATAACCAGTGTCAGCTTTAAGGGGCTTTCCTTATCATTAGTATTTAAATGGTTAAAGTATTTTCCTCTGTTTATGTTGATAGCAGAGTGTTTAGGTGGAAAATAGCAGTGTGGCTTTAAGCCAGTACTGGTTCTGGCATGTTTGTTTGTTAGGTAAATGTTCCTGTGGAGAGGCTTGGGGTGCAAATCTAGGGCAGTTGCTCATTTAATACTTTAGATAATTTAACTGGCATTATGGAAAAAATATTTTGAGTTAGGTAACAATTTTTTTTAGCTGTTCTCTTTGCTTTACGAAAGTTTTAGACATGATTTTGGTAACATTAGTAGACACAGACACAGTCAATCATAATTTATTGTGTGATCATTTTTTGAGAGAAACTTTTATTTAACAGATATTTTCATTTCACATACCATCCCAGTTCCTCCTCCCTTCCCTTCTGCTTCCTCCCCTCCCGTCCGTCCTAACCCTAACCCACAACCACTCCTCAGAGGGGATAGGCCTTCCTTGGGGAGTCAGTGAAGTCTGGCATACCAAGTTGAGACAGGACCAAGCCTCTCCCCCAGCGTAGGGAATGGACTCCAAAGACAGTTCATGCTGGGTTAGGTCCTGGTGCCACTGATGGGGGTGTGGGTGGGGGATTTTCTTTTTTTCTATCACTGTCTGAATATCATTTAAATTTTTGTTTCATCATTTGCTTCATCGGACTTACTTGAATATGGAGTTTTATTATATCATTCTGCTATGCAAATACCTGAGCTAATGTAATGGAGTAAATGACTAAAGCCTTCTAAGGCTAGCCATGGCTTGCTGTGCTGCACACCCGAGTCAGCCTGAGTCTATTGCCATGCTGCTTTGGCATCCCAAGGCCTGGACTTGCATACATTTGTTGCCATGCTCGCTTTCTTTTTGAGATAGGCATTAGTCTGGTCCAAGCTGGCTATGAACATGCTCCTCCTGCCTTAGCCTCCTGAATGCTGGGATTACAGGTTTGCTCTAGGAGCTTTAAGCCATTTGTACTCATCTTAGGCAGGCTTTTGTGCTGGTGTTCCCCAGAGAGCTGATAAGGAAATGTGTTCTTCCTGTGCTTTTCTGTGTCCTTGATAACTTCTCACATGACTATGCTGCAGCTTTACTGAGGACACATGTAGATAACTGTGCTGCACAGCATACAAAGGCATACATGATGATCGGTGCCGGGTTTCCAAGCAGGTGTCAGGCAGGTTACGATTTCTAAGGTGTTCAAGTGAATGGAGTGGTGAGACCCAGTCTCACCTGGTGTCAGTCGAGAGAGGTTCTCTAGTGAAGTCCTGCAGTTCTCTAAGTGATGCTGACACCCAAACTTAGTGTCGCAGCCGCAGCCTGGCCTCCTTAGCAAGCTGGCTCCACCTTGTCCTCAGCCGTTGTGTTAAACAGGCAAGTAATGCTGAAGACCAAGACCACCTCCCCACCCCCTTCTCCAGGGTCCTGAGGAAACGCCGGGTTTAAATAGAGGACTGGAGGCATTATCTAAGCAGTCCCGGTGAAAAGTGAGGTCCCGCCTGTGGGCCACCCTTGTCTCAGCTTCAGCCTCTCCTACAAGGGTTCTATCCAGTTGTCACATTCCAGGAGACAGGGTCTCCCTCTAGCTGATAGCAGGTCTCCAGCCTTTCCGTCTCCTAGCATGGGTTCCTGGGGACACTCCAGCACCTTGGACCATTGTGTCAGTATCCTGAGAGCCGAAGGGACATGGGACATGGCCTCCATCCACTCTTGGCTGGTTGCAGAGTAATGGCAGAACCAGCCCCTCACAAACTCTTCTTTGTCACAGCCAATGCCTTAGCAGCCTGCCAGCTTTTAAAATAATTAAAGTGTTGTCTTTTTGAGATTTTATTTTTATCTTTACGCGTGTGTGTGTGTGTGTGTGTGTGTGTGTGTACACATGGGTATGTGCATGAGTGCACTGCCTTTAGAGGCATCAGATCCTCTGGAACTGGAGTTTCAGTTGTGGGTGCTGGGACTTGAACTCGGACCTCTGGAATTGCAGCCAGTGCTCTCTACCACTGAGCCATCTCTCCAGCCCTTAAAGTGTCTTCAGTTTTGTTTTACTTTTAACAGTGCCATGGGCTGAAGTTAAATTGCCCCAACCCTGTGGAACTTGAAAATGGTCTAAGTGTTTGAGCTCTGTGGGGGTTGTGGTGAAAGTAACGGAGCGCTCACCTTAAAGAGGATGGGCGGAAGTAATTCTACACAGTTTATTGCTTCCAGTATTGTTCCTAATGCTCATCCATTTCAGACAGTGTGTCCATGACAGTTCTATTTATGAGAGCTTACCCTGTGTTTCTGGCTATGGAATTTTAGAAATGCTTTCAAAAATAATGAGTTGTACATCTTACATTGTGATTTGATTATTTTCACTAGGCCTCAAGATAATTCAGCTCAGCAAACAAACACCACTGAAAGCAATGTGACCAATACATCATCTCCTAATAGTAACCCCACATCTGGTCCTGCTGCTAACGGCCCTTTTGGCTTAGGTGAGTGTTGTTTTGGTGGTGGTAGTGTTGGTGGTGTGGGGTTGAAAGATTCTCTTCAGGGGTAGTTTTAGATAAAATGACAGGATAAAGCATAACTCACTTAAACAGTTTTTAAATTTTTTCATAGTTTACTTCTGTAATTGTGTTTGAGATACAATATGTTTGATTGGCTTACATTTGTATTTAGTAAATGACATACTTCTGTTTTATATGAAAGAAATGTAGGCTATGTGTACCTAGAAATCTGACTATCACATAATTGCCTATGAGATATAGTTAGTTGACGATAAGGTGTGATCAAGTGAGTGATCATTTTTCATTTGTACAAGAAAGGCTTGAGTGGACTACACTAGTTACTTGTTAACTTTTTGTATTGCCTTGAACTCTGGTCTTTGTGCTTGGCTTTCCTGGTATGGAGATTGTAGGCAAACAAAATCACTGTGGAACTACATTAGTTACTTTGAAACTATCCTAGGGGCTGGAGAGATAGCTCAGTAGTTAAGAGATGACTCACTGCTCTTGTAGAGGACCTGGGTTTGGTTCCCAGCACCCACACTGTAGCTCACAACCATCTATAACTCCAGTTCCAAAGGATCTGACACCCTCTTCTGACCCTATGGACACAGTGCAAGCATGTGATGCACATACATACATGAAAGCAAAACACTCATACACATGAAATAAAAAACAGTTAACTCCAGTACTTCCCTCCCCTCGCCCTCACCTCAGTCCCTTTGCCCTTGCCTTGTCCCCCTGTGTGCTCCACAAGCACCTTACCCGAACTTCTCCAGCTCCACACTGCTAGTCATTAACTCATTTGCATATGTTGAGATGTTGTTGAGGAAAAATCTTCTGAAGCTAGCAAAAGTTGGGCTAAATAAAAGAATTGCTTAATGTTGGTATCAATCCCCAAAGGCCATAGCTAGTATAGTGCTTTGGAGTTTTTCTTAGGGTCATTTTCACGTGTTAGGAACCATACATCCTACCCTTTACCCTTTTCCTGAGAATTTTTGGGTAGCCCATTATAGTATGCCAATATATGGCACACAGGTTTTAGATCATGGCATAGATCGCTTTACAACACACAATACTAACAACAAATGGAAGCGTTTCAGGTTTGCACAGGAGGCGTCTCCAGCTGCTGCTCTCCTCCCGCCATGACGGTTGGCGGGACTGAAAATGCCACCTTAACCCCTCGGGCTCTCTGATGGCGCTGGCCATCACCCTGTTTTGTTAGCCTCCACCAGCGGAGCGGTCTTCAGGCCCTGCTGTCATAACAAAAGCATTCAAAATGCCTGTGTTTTTAGGAACCTGTGAGGGGATCAAGAAGAAGCACATATGTTGTCTAATACCTGGCAGGTTAAAAATAACACGTCTAGTTGGTTCTGTTACGTATCAAAGTTGAAAATGTGGCTAAGTTTGATTGTAGGGTGTATTTGGCGTGGGAGGTGGGGTCCGTTGTGGCAAACACTGGGAAGGCACAGTTTAAACGAGGAAAAGTTGTTGGCACATGGTTCAACTGATGGACAGTTGCTGCATTAAGGCCTGTGGTGTGGCAAGGAGGGTGTACAGATAGCTGCTTCCCTCACAGTGTAATGCAGTCCCGGAGCTCGAGCCTGTCACCACAGAGGCGAATGAGAAGAGGCAGGTTGAGTTTGTAAGCTGTGATCGGAGGAGGCCCATCTTATCTTCTGCCAGCAGATGATATGGGGTGGGGGGGACAGAAACTAGGTAGTTGATCACTTCAGAGCTTAGGTTTGCCTCTCTGGTCAGATGGTCAGCCACGAGGCCGGTAGGTCTGTGTCTCCCGTGTTACGCCTTTCATTTGTCCCCATTCCACTTCTTGAAACCCTGAGAATAATTAGTGTCTGCTTGATGTCAGTGCTGTAATGGCAGGGCCATCTGGTCTGCTGTGGGTGAGCTTAGGTTGGGACAAACCATTAGCAGCGTGTGCTGTACGGTCTTATTGAGTATTCTGCAGAGTTTTGTCCCCAGTGTGGAGTACAAGTATGTGTTTGTAATTCAGATATAGAAGTCGTCTGTCCATAGCAGCAGGAAGTCCCTTCAAATGTACTGCACTGCATAGTCCATTGAGCCACAAGCCATTAATTAGCACTACAGTCACCTTCATCAGTGTCACCAGCTGAGGGTCAAGGCTTGGGGGCAGCACTTCATACCTAAGCCATAGCATAGGAATGAAAGCTGGAGTATAATAGTAAGTATATCCTAATAGCATAAAAATGAATGAGAGAAGTTGTTTTGTTTTAAATGGTTTGTGTATTGTTGAGTTAATAATTATTCATGTTTACCACAAGCTTTTGATTTTCATTTTTGTTTTTCTCTCTTATCCTGTAAGGAGGACTTGCAGGTCTGAGTAGTTTGGGTTTAAATACCACCAACTTCTCTGAACTCCAGAGCCAGATGCAACGGCAGCTTTTGTCGAACCCTGAGATGATGGTGCAGATCATGGAAAACCCCTTCGTTCAGAGCATGCTTTCCAACCCTGACCTGATGCGACAGTTGATTATGGCCAATCCACAGATGCAGCAGTTGATACAGAGAAACCCGGAGATCAGCCACATGCTCAACAATCCAGACATAATGAGACAGGCATGTAGAGAAGTATTTCCTGTATGTTACTTTCTGTGCTTCCAGAGATTGCCTATGTATGTACTGCAAAGTTAAAGAGAATTCCAACCATTGTTTAAGGAAAGTCAGCAAAACACTAATATGAGTTTGGTCTATTTGAACTGTGACCTTTCTGCTGTGCTTGGAAATTATTTACGGAGCACTCATTAGATGTGGCCCCCATGCCCGTCCCTCCTCTGTGCTGTGGGTCTAAGAAGGGTCTTAGAGTGCAGAGTGGAAAGGCGCCATGAGCGGCCTGCCTCTGCCTCACACGTTACAAAAACAGTTTGGGGGCGGGGAAACACTGTCAATACAGTGTATGAAAAAAAAATTTCAGTCAAAACATTTAGAATTGGGCATGTTGGTTCACAGCTTTATATCAGTACTTGGGAGGCAGAGGCAGGAGGATCTCTTGTGAGTTTGAGGCCAGCAGGGACTACATAGAGAAATCCTGTCTCAAAAAACATGGGGGTGGGGGTTTAAGAAATAAAAAAAGTCCATTTTTAGAGAGGTACCATTCACTCAAACTGTTTTGTGATATCCCATGGATATGTATTGTTTTTAGAGATGAAATCCACCAGGAATTTTAAGAAGTACTTTCCTAATTTAGATATTATAACAGATTTGGTTTAAAACTCTTAATTGGTTTTTATGGTTCTAAAGTTGGATGGCACCTCATGCTGTAAGATAGAATTAGTGTTTGCATGAACTGAGTGAGTGAGTCCAGCTTCCTAGCGGGCAGAGAGTTGGTGAGGACAGCAAAGATAGGCAGAGTGACACAGTCACTTTCCTGGTAGAGTTAGGACGCTGACTCAGCTAGACTGGAATCCTCTGTTTTATAAAGTTAGTTTGACTACCTGGCCCTTAGCACAAGTGACTGGGGCCTGGTACAGGAGCTAGTCCAAGTCAGTGGCTTCTCATAAAGTTTTGTTAAACACTGAAGGGATGGATTCCTTGCTATTTCAGTGCTCTTTTTTAAAAATGGAGATTTCTTTCTTAGACGTTGGAACTTGCCAGAAATCCAGCAATGATGCAGGAAATGATGAGGAACCAGGACCGAGCCTTGAGCAACCTAGAGAGTATCCCAGGCGGCTACAATGCCTTACGACGCATGTACACAGACATCCAGGAGCCCATGCTGAACGCTGCACAGGAGCAGGTGACTGACCACTCCAAGGCACAGGCCGAAAAGTTGTTTCCCTGAAAAGTAGCGCTGTATCTCTTAATATGTTTTTCTTTTCTTTCAGTTTGGTGGTAATCCATTTGCTTCCTTAGTGAGCAGTACTTCCTCAGGTGAAGGAAGTCAGCCTTCTCGAACAGAAAATAGGGATCCACTACCCAACCCGTGGGCTCCGCAGACTTCCCAGAGTTCACCAGCCTCTGGTAGCACCACTAGCACTGTGAGCGGCTCTGCTGGAGGCGCCGCCAGTACCCCGGCTGGGCAGAGTACCTCAGGACCCGGCTTGGTGCCTGGAGCAGGAGGTGTGTGTGTGCGCCTTGCACTGACAGTGAAACTGTTGCTGACGCCGCCTATTCCTTTCGCTGGCATCTCTTTTATGAACACTCTTTGTTGCAGGCTTTGGGATTGTGTGAGGGATAGAATTTTTAAACTGTATATATCTATGGGGTATAACATACTTGCCTTAAATATCTGTTTAGAGTGAGTGTGTACAGGAGCCCGTGGAAATCAGAAAAGGATGTTGGATCCTTCTAGAACTGGAGTTCTAGAAGATTGCAAGCCATCATGTGGGTGCTGAGATTAAGCTCAGGTTCTCTGTAGGGGCAATAAGCTCTTCCTTTTACTTGCTGCTCTATGTCTAGCCCCTACAGCATGTTCTGATGTACATATTTGTTTGAAATATGGTTAAATGTATGTAGTTACCATGTCATACAGAAGATCTCCAGAGCTCATTCCTGGGAAAATTAAACAGAGGCATACTGTTTTAAGGTGATAATGAAGTCATCCTGGGTGCTTTTCACAGAACATGCGCTGGGTTTTATGACTGGAACAGAGTGCCCTCACAGCTGGCACTGCTTTGGAAGGTATTGGAAGCTTTAGGAGAGGGGTAGGCCACTAGAGGTGGATCCTAGGACGCTCCTTCCCTGCTTCTTGGCTGCCATGATAATGAACTGTCCTGCTTTGCCACAGACTCACTCCATGCTGTTGTGGACTGTCTTCAGAACCATGAGCCATAATGAACCCTTCTTCTAAATTGTCTTCTGTCCCAACATTTTGTCACAGTTACGGAGGAGTTGTTGGAAGAGTCAGAATTAATGAAAGGAATTTGATTATGAGGTTATTTGAGTGACCCAGGACATGGAATATGGCTGAGTGACTAAAAAATAGGAAAATATGCCACGTACCTACTAACTGATGGAATAGTAAAACAGATGGCCCTAATTATTACCACGAGTATACCATTACACTGTTAAATGCAGATTCAGATGTCTAACATAAGTTGTTGCCACACTAATTCAAACATTTCCATGTCTTGCTTCTTTCATTGAGGCAGTCAGCAAGCGATCTTTAGGTATTCATAGACTACACACTGTGTACTTCTGTCGTGTCTGCCTGTGTATTTCTGTTTGGCTGAGAAGTATTTCCTCTGGGGATGTAAGCTTCATCATCACGTGTGTGTCATCCCATCCCCCCTTCAGCCTAGGTTCCAGTACTTTGTAGATAAGGTGTAGTGCGTGAGGATTAGGCATGGAGCGTGGAAAAGAGAATTGAGATTCAGGAAAGGTAAAAGCACTGTGAGTTGGATCTGAGCAGAGGCCAGAAGGGACTTGAAGATTATGACTGCTGCTGAGGTGAGGTGAGTGTGATGTGTGAACCACCCCGCTCCAGCGTTAGCATAGTCGGGGGATGAGGAAATGTCCATCTTACTCCGAAAAGATTGGTCTTGACTTTACACCTTCAGGTAACTGCTGCTGGTGGGATCCTTTCTTCCGTGCTTTTTGAAACAATTTTTTCAGTTCTATTGGTGTGTGTTTCTGCTTTTGTGGCTAGCTGTATTCCATGAAGGCTGGAATCTGGGGATTGAGGTGTTCAGATTTCTCGTTGCTTCTCACTTAACATTTTGTAAGTCTCTTTAATTACCTGCTTTCTTCCTGAGTTCATTCCCATTGTTATGTGAGAGGTTTTGGTTTTTTTGTTTTTTTTTTTTTTCCCTGAAGGAAATTTTTCTGATGGTTAATTGTACATCGTCAGTAAGAGTGTTATTGATTTCTAAAGCAGTTTTGTAATCGCACATCCTACTATGATAGTGTGAAGAGAAATTGTTTTTATCTTCTGGGTTTTAGTTGGTCTTATGAGTTATACCTATGGATTCTCAAATATCAGTCCAAAGGCCAGGTCCAACATAGCTGGCGTAGAACAGCTGCCAGATGTGTTAACTGGCAGATTTTTGCAGCCAAGCTCAGGTCCATAGTCCAGCTACTTGGGAGACTGAGGTGGGGAAGACTACTTGAATGTGGAAGACCACAGCCAGGCTAGGCAACAGTGACCAGTTCCCACCCCAAAAAGCCAAGTTTTGGGATCTTGATGTCAGACATCATGAACCAGAATCTTCGATGGAGAGGTATGAGATCTGTGTGTGGCAGAAGGAGGTTAAGTTATTTTTAGATTAGCATAAAAAGCATTACGTGGCTGGGTGAGGTGGTGCACACCTTTAATCCCAGCACTCGGGAGGCTGGCACAGGCAGACTTCTATGAGTTCCGAACAGCCAAGGCTTCACAGATAAAGTGTCTCATTGGGTTTCACAGTGACAGTTTTGTGCATATGATGAATCTTTATACATTTTTTCTTATTCCTCTTCCCTTCTGTCTTCCTTCATGTCCATTTCCCAGACTGATTTCCTTCCATCTCCCAATTAATTCCAACTTCTGCTTATTTATTGCATGTATTCAACTATTTACACCTCTGTTAAGACCTCTTTCTCCCCTCTCTGATACCCTTTTCATGGGTTAAGCAGCCTTATAGCTAGTTCCCATGTGAGAGAAAGTGATTCTCAGTTTGCTCCTTTCACTCAGCATAAGGGTTTCTAGTTGCCTTTATACTTGTCCCTGCACATTGTAATTCTTTACAGTTGTGTGAACTTGCATTGCATGAATGGTTCACTTCCTCTGTCTGTTGGTGGACATCTGGGTGGCTCTTTAGCTTAGCCTGGCTGTTGTGAATAACACAACAGTATGCCACTTAAGAGTCTTTCGGGTTTGTGCCCAGGAATGGGGCATAGCTGGGTCATGTGGTTCTGTTTTCAAGTTTTTTTAGGGTACTTTATACTGATTTCCGTAGGGGCTGCAGAGGGTTATATGGCACGTGCAGTGACCAAGGTCTCTTGCCCTGTCCTTTTTGCCAGTGTTTTCTGAACATTCTAGTTGGAATGAGATGGAATCCCAAAACAGTTTTAATTTGCATTTCCCTGATGCCCAAGGTTGATGAACTTTTCAAGTATTTGTATGTCTTTTGAGAACTGTCTGCTCAGCTTTTTATTGGATGGACTTACTGAGTTGGTGATTTGAGGTTGGTTGGTTTGTTTGCTTGCTTGCTTGCTTGCTTGAGGCCAGCCTGGTCTACAGAACTAGTTACACAGTATGTGTAAGTTGGCATGCTAAGTCCATGGAGAAACTTCAGTTTCTGGTAAAATCTAATTTCTAATGTTCAATGTCACCCATAACATTGACTGGGTGTTCTCATTTAACAGAAGACTAATCTCATCCATGAGCCAGTGTGTGTGGGTGTTTTACCTGCATGTGTCTGCAGAGGCCAGAAGAGGGCTCTGCATCTAGCACGGGAGTTATAGACCGTTGTGAGCTGTCATGTGGGTCCTGGGACTTGAGTCTGGGTCCTCTGAAATAGAGACCGACTCTAACTGCTGAGTCATCTTCTCGACCCTGTTTTTTTGAGACTAAGTCTCATATACAACAGACCAGCTTGGAACTTAACATTCTACCTGGGCCTCCTGAGTGCTCTCCTGCCTGGCTGGAATGTACTGATACATGGTTAGTCTGATAATGTCTGTGTATGTTTTATTCTTTGATACATAGCAGCCATTTTGTTTGGTAAAGTAATCCATACTCCACTGTGCCTCAAACCCATGGTATTAACAGTTTGCTTCTCTTATTTTACTTATATGATTAATCTGCACTTATGATTAAGAAAAACAGGGTGCTAGAGAGGTTTCTTGTGGCACACTATAAAGCCATATGGAGCATTGTGACACACAGTCCCTTTAGATGTCCCCTGCCTTTCTAGTGTAAAAGCACCCAGCGATAGTCAGCATAATTTGTTCGAAAATCCTGCAAAATGACACTTAAATCGCTGAGCGTGGATTTCAGTGGCTTCCAGTTTCTACCATGTTGATTTTGTGGGATAGATAAAAAACAGGTTATGAAAGCCAGATTGGTCGGTCTTGTAGGCTGTAGTTTGCCAAACTCTTAACAATATTTTTGAACTTTGGAGTGTGGAAGAAGCTACTTGAAACTTGATAATATAGGTACACCACAAACACAAGACTTGGAGCAAATTAGAAAGATAGTAAAATGCTTTAAAGGGGCATTAGTTCAAAACCTAGAGTGGAGGTGAAGAATTAAATAGTTCCGTCAATGTTAAACTCTCCTCCTCTGGGTGCGTCAGGGCTGGTCTTCACTTGAAGGAGGCACACTCACTTCTTTCTGTTCTCTGGTGTCTTTGAAGTGCCATGTCAGGGTTCCTCCAGTCTCTCTGAGAAACAGTCCAGGCTGTCCCGGAACTCACTCTGTCTACTAGGCTGGCCTCGAAAGTGTCAGAATTCTTGTGCCTTGGAGACATCACTGAGTAAAATAAGGGTTGATCTGAAAGCTGAGCTAAGTGATCTTATCAGGTTCTGACCCCTTTAGGTCAGGGTTTGCCGGTGGGAGGGGTAGCGTAGGATGCACATGCTTCACAAAAACTGCAATTTGAAACTTAGCTGTTTACCTACTTGTAAAGTTTGTCATTCTATATTTGGGGGCTGTGGCTGACCATGGTTAACCAAACTGTATAAAGTGAACCTATTGCTAAGGGAAAATAGCTATATGCCACTTTAAGTAGCTAAAATTAAGTACAATATACACTGTATTTAAATATTAATGTCTTAATCTGTTTTTTTTTTTTGTAAATAAAATTTTAGCTAGTATGTTCAACACACCAGGAATGCAAAGCTTGTTGCAGCAAATAACTGAGAACCCACAACTTATGCAGAACATGCTGTCTGCCCCGTACATGAGGAGCATGATGCAGTCACTAAGCCAGAACCCTGACCTTGCTGCGCAGGTGAGCTTGTAATTGTGTTTGTGAGCGCGTGTGAACTGAACAGTCCATGGTTCTGTTCCTGGCACATTGGTCTCGTGAGCTCTCAGCATCTTAGAGATGTAGACAGACTGCACCTCCAGCTTTGGGACGGTTTTACTTTGTAATACACTTGGAACGACCTCATTTCTGCCGTTTGATGATGAGATGGGCTTTAAAAAGGAAAACACACTAAAGCCTTTAGAGAATTCACTCTGATCTTACTCCTCCTGCTTGTCTGTTGTTTGGGTGTCAGCTCCCTGGGTGGTAGTCATATACTACCTAGAGCATCACCCACTTCTGGGCCTGAGCAACTGGAGGGTGTGCAGTAGGCTGTGATCGTCCTGTGGTTCCTGCTGTGTTAGGAGTTAGAATGCTTTCCTTTGTGTCCTCTCATTACCTTTAAAGGCTTCTTGTTTCACTCTGCTGCATGAAGTGGTTTTTATTTTCAAAATCCTGAAACCACATTGGCACAAGGATGCGCCCATGAGGCAGGGTCCTCAGTGATGCTTACATAATGACTATAATTAAAGACTGATGCTCTTGGGTAACTTTATCTTAAAATACATGTGCAAGGGTGTATTTTTATGAAAGCTGGTCTTGTGAATTTATGAATTAAGTGCTTGATGTTAATGTGTCCTGAGCTACTTTTGTCACTTGGGTAGTTAAGATGTATTTCCATGTATATTTTAGTTATAACACCAAATGTGTGTGTCATTCTTAAAATTCATCCTCAGCAGACATATTCCATGTATGACTGTTTTCTAACTGCAAAGCAGGAACCCTGACAATGCTGGGTGGTGTCTCTTACGAAAGAAAGAATGTTTAAAACTTTTACAGTGTGCTTCAACATCAAGTGGCTTATAGTTTATCTTCCAAAGATTCAATATTTAAAATATTTTAAATGTAAATGCTTAATTGTGGTATGAAGGTTCAGGTAAGTTAGGAGAAATTGTAAGTAAAAAGCCCCCCCCTTTTTTTTTGAATAATTTAAAATGAAAAGTGAATGTGATAAGCGGTTAATAACCAGCAAAGCAGTGTTTGTCTGGAAGAATGAAGAGGCCACCCTGGCCTGTAGCAGCCCCCGCTCTACTGACTGCTCCCCTGAAACACTCACTCTGTGTCCATAAACATTACCCATCTCCTGCTTTGGTGCTGTTGGAGGAGGGCGGAGAAGACTCTTTTTTTTTTACAGCATTTTCGTAACAGTTGCTCTTCAGTGTGGTTACCCGATTGAGGGCAAAGATCATTTCCTCCCCAGACTTTGGACAGGTAAACAGGCTGTCAGCCCGGCCGGCGTTGGAGAGTGATACACAGTCTGTCTCTTGAATGTATCAGTGTCTGGTTTGCTGACTGTGTGACGGTCTTACCTTCAGGCAGTCACGCCATCGTTTGAAGGTTAGGTGATCCCCACCTTGTTCCTGCGGTGCTCGTGAGGTGGGGTGCAGACATTACTCTTGGTGATCTCATTACATCTCTGGGTCTTGGGTATTTTAGCACTACCCCAGAGGACTGTTGGTGCTAGTTTGGGCTGGTTTCATCTAGCAGCTCCATTTCTCTGGCCAGTTGGTGGCTGTTTTGTGGTTATTCTGGACCTAATATCAACTGTTAGTAGTGGGCAGGTAGATAATAGTGGCTCCAGATCTGCGCTCTCTGTGTGTTGAGGTTTCTAAGCAAGCCATCCATATTTCAGCTTTTACGTATTGATGGTTCTTTTATTCTGTGGCGTAGCCACAATCGTTATCTTCCTGAGAGCCTGGCACTCCCAGTTTCCCCCTCTAAGGCAGAGGTTCGCATTCTTTCCAGAAAAAGGCGACAAAACAATTGCTTTTATTTTTTAGGGCCTAGTATGGCATCCATCATCCACCACTCTCGGTGAAAGAGAAGCTGCCCTCCCTGCCTCCCTCCTTCCTTCCTCCTCTCCTCCCTTTCTCCTCTCCTCCTTTCTTCTCCCCTGAGCTCCTTCCTTGTGGATAGAACTTCCCTGCCCCCTTTTTATTTATGTTCTCCCTTTCTCCCTTTTAAGTGCCAATTTAGGCACTTGGAGGAAGGTAGAATATTAAACCAGGTACATTACTTGTTTCAGATATTTCCAGTTAAAATTGTTTGAACACTTGCCCCATAGATGATGCTGAATAATCCCCTATTTGCTGGAAATCCTCAGCTTCAAGAACAAATGAGACAACAGCTCCCAACTTTCCTCCAACAAGTGAGTAAGAAGACGCTGCTGTCCTTGTAATGATCGGCTTGAAGGGTTGATGGTGGGCGTGTCCTCCCTCCTGGCTGGTAGCACAGTGTGGAGGAGCCTGTGACTGCCCACTTGCAGACACTGAGCCTGACCCTTTCCGGCCCGTGTCACTCCTGACTGCTTACGTGTGAGCAAAGAGAACCGGTTTGTCTTTGCTCCTGAGGATTTAGGGTTTGGACACCTTGTTGATGTGGCGGGCCGCTCCCTTCTCTTTCTCCTTGTAGCACACACTAGATTTTGGACTAGTTCTGAGTGACGGGAAAGAGCTTCCCTCTCTTACTTCATGAGTTGGGTTTTGTTGTGATGCCTCAGTTTCTTCCAAGTTAGGCGAATGCTTGTTCTCCAAGGAGTAGACCTCATTTCCTCAGAACAAGAGACAGTAAGTTAAAGTTGTCAGTGCTGTCACATCAGGGAGGTTTCTGTTTCTGTTTTGTTTTTGTTTTGTTTTTAAAAAAAAAAAAAAAAAAAAAAAGGTAGTGCCACGGTGTTGTTTATGTAAAAACAGGAGAGTGGTGTTGGTGCTTTGGAAACTGGTAGTTTCTTTTCAGGGTTCACATCTGAGAGGGTTGTTAGCCCAGCCGTTACCCACAGTCCCCGCTCGTCCTTGGTCTGCCGCACTGGTCCGAACTCCCTCTTGTCAGGTGGGAGTGGGGATTTGAAAGTAACAAATCTAAAGTTGGGACACTATTGATTCAACTTTGGAACAGTTGTTTGAGGTGGTCGACGGGTAACGCTGTTAGATTAGCAACAGATAGTGCATGGTCAGGAGATGCACACAGCTTTCGCCAGATTCCACCGCCCACTAAACAGTGCTTTTGGACTTGCTCAGAAATGCTTTTATTTATCTGTTTGTTGTTTGTTTGTTCCTTTTGTTGGAGAAGAGAAAAATGGTTCTGGTGTTGCTCTTAATTGTCTTTATTCTGAAAACAGCTTTTATGGTAGTCTTGCAACTGAGTCAAATAATGATTTCTATATGGAATTTACTATCAAAGAGGAGGGTGTGTGTGTATTTTAGGAAGAAATAATGGAGTACTGCTGTCTGAAAGTAAAGTTTTAGATTTTCTTCAAACATGTGGCAGAAGTTGGAAAAAGTCTGCCTGGGTGGCTTCTAGCCTTTGTGAGCACTGCTGTTCCTTCTTCCTTAGATGCAGAGCCCTGACACCCTGTCAGCAATGTCCAACCCCAGAGCTATGCAGGCGCTGTTACAGATCCAGCAGGGCCTGCAGACATTGGCGACAGAAGCCCCCAGCCTCATCCCAGGGTAGGCTCATTTGGAAAAGATTTGATTGTTCTGCCTTTTATTTGGGTTGTTGAGTTATTTTTTGGTCAGTTTTCAGAAGTTACACCTGCTTACTTTTAAGAAAATAACTTAGTATCATGTTAAAATGTAACTTTTGTCAGCTGATGGGTTGTATGTGCTTTCTCTAGGTTTACTCCTGGCGTGGGGGCAGCAGGCAATTCTGGAGGCTCCTCAGCAAACAGTGCAGCCAACACTGCCCCCAGTGAAAACCCAAGCCCCACCGGGGGCACTCCTGAGCCAGGCCAGCAGCAGTTTATCCAGCAAATGCTGCAAGCCCTTGCTGGGGTGAATCCTCAGGTGACAGTGCTCTTCTTTACCGATTTTGCATTCCTAACTTAAATGTAGAATTTTCAAAGAAGGCGGTAGCCATTTAGTGTTCGGGTAATGAAAAGTAGTATTCAAGGATATTAAATCTAAAAAACGGGTGTGACACGGGATGTTAATTTTGCTGCTATATCAGATAGCAAAGAAAAGAATGCTTCAATCTGATGCCATAGTATTTAGACATAGCCTTATAAGATGTGAGTTTTTATGTCCTTTCTTCAAAGTCATTTGAAATAATTTTTATTTTCTAAGGGTTTATCAGGGAAAAACCTAAAAACATTGTCAGTGTTTCAGAACAGCTGCATCTAGGCTTCTAATTGTGGCCTGTCCTTCCCTAGCACATCCTGTAGTAACCGAACACATAAGGGCTCCTTAGTGATGGTCTTGCAGCTGTGAGCATTTATTGTCTTTACCAAGAATTTACCACTAAGGGGGCCTGGAGAAATTACTTGCTCAGTGTTTAAGAGTGTTGGCTGTGCTCCCAAAGGACCCCGATCTAATTCTCAGCACCCACATGGCAGCTCACAACTGTCTATAACTCTAATCTCCAGGCTCTTCTAACTTCTGTGGGTATCAGGCATGCATCTGGTGCATATACAAGCAAACACATAAGATGAGGTTAAAAAAATTCTGCATCAGGCTAGTTAGTGTATTGTAATTGAAGTACACTCAGTGTCAACACAAGAGAAAGCACCAGCTCTCCTTACATGGGCTTTAAAAAAAAAAAGCTTGGTCACAAGCCTCTAAAGTAATGGAATTTACTAAGCATGTTTTACCCTTTGTGGGAGAAGGTGAGAGGGAAGGCCTCAGGGAATCAAATCCAAGGCCCCGAGCACTCACCCCCATCCTATAAAGCAGAGTTATGTAGACTGCCTTTCATGGTTGTTTAAGAATAAACTATCCTAAAATAAAATATTAAGCAACTTTTAAATATGATATTTATAAATTATAACTAAACTATTTTAAATCATATTTTGCTCATTTGAAGTAAATATCCATATATATCTGTAAGGATAAATTGTAAAGTAAATAACACCTGGAAAGGTCCACTTCATAAAATAATTATAAGTGATCTTATATATTTTAGTTGAGTAAGTTTATGGTGGATATATCTCAAGGAACAGGTAGCAATTTAAAGAAAGCTCGGCCGACCAGCATACACCATTTAAACAGCAGTTGAGGTGTTTGAAGAGTGACTGTCTCTCCTTAGAATGTGCTTCTTTGTTCTTCTCAACAGCTGCAGAGCCCAGAAGTCAGGTTCCAGCAACAACTGGAACAGCTCAGTGCTATGGGATTTTTGAACCGTGAAGCAAACTTGCAAGCACTGATAGCAACAGGGGGTGATATCAACGCAGCGATTGAAAGGTTGCTGGGCTCCCAGCCATCATAGCAGCATCTCTGTACCCTGAAAAAAATGTAATTTATTTTTGATAACGGCTCTTAAATCTTTAAAATAACCTGCTTTATTTCATTGGAATTCTGTGCTGTTATAAAGGAGACCGATGGGAAGCGCCTGAGATGGAGTGCCGTACGACGTGCAGGTTTCTGTATCTCTTTGGAACAGTGGGAATCAATGTTTTCAGTTAAGGCTGCTGCATGCATCAAACACTTGGCATTTATTGTAATTTTTTTTAAATATCACCTTTTCTAATTGGGTGAACAAATTTTTGTCCTGCATCTGTCCAACTAACTTGCTTTTAAACATACCCCATGGTAGTAATTTATGTAGAATAAAGGCATTAAAGCAGATCACTTGCACTCCATGATTTGTGGTACAGTATTGCTTCCTGTGACTTTGGCATGTATTTTTGCAAATAATGCTGTAAGGTTTATACTACTGACAATTTTGCTTATTTGTATACAGTACAAATTACTGCACATTTCTAGGTCATCTAAGCAAAATTCCTGTAACCAAAAAAGTAAAATAAGGATTCCTAATTGTGTAGAATCTTACAGCATCTTTGATAAACACCTCTCAGCAGAAGTGCCATTTAGTCAAGTTTGTTGAAAATAAAGAAAAACTGATTCTGGCTATCTCTTTAGGGACATTTAATTGTACAGACAGTATAATGTAACAATATCTCAACATTTACATAATGGCTATAAATTACCTATATGTTGTTCAGGTTGAAGGAGCGCTGTAGTGGTCCCCGCTCCCTCCCCATGGCTGTCAAGTGACACTGAGTGGGATTGAAAAGTTGCTTTCCCTGAAAGTGCTGGTGTTTCCATCTTAATCGCCATATAAAAGTAGAGCTATCTCTTGGGTTTATCAGCTTTCTCATTCATAGGCAATACCTGGATTTAAAATGATTAGTGAGCCACTTGTTTCTGAAGTGTTTGCCTAGTTCTGTTAAGAAATAGTTGAATGTCGTGCTGTTCAGAGCCTCGGAAGGGGGTGGGGGAGGGTGAGACAGAATCTATTGTGGTTTGGGCCAGCCTGAACTAAGTGATACTGGCAACCAAGGTCTGAAGATTCTATGCATATAGTAGTGTCAGTCTGGTGAAAACGAAGAGCCGTTTTACAGTTTCGAGTAAGTTTGGTTATCCTATAGCCTCTTTGTTCCTTCCCAGAGAAGTTCTGTTTGCCTAACTCTCACACTGTTGGGGTGATACATTCCTTCGGGACCAATTAAAATATAACTTTAGGGTCAGTGAGGTATGCTGCTGACTCTGGTTCAGTATTCTCTTAGGTCATTGTATTCTCTCTTGTACAGTTAACCCAAAATTATAATGTTAAAATAATCTAAAATGAGTTCAGACAAATAAAATCAAGGGAAATAGATGGTGAGTTCGGTAACTTCTTTAAGTTGCTTGCTATGGAAAGGTTGAGAGGCCAGGTTGACCCCAGACTGCACTGTTGTGACACTTCCCCAAGACAGCAGCATGCATGGGGGCGGGGGCGGGGGCGTGGCTGGCGGAGCTTGGTGAGGGCAGCGTGGGTGTGTCTGCTCTCTGCCTATGCCTCAGTCTGCCTGCTTTAGAGACGTTTGTACTGGTGAATGGCACTGCAGTTGGGGCTGTGTCGTAACCGGTGTGGTTTATTAATCACAATAACAATAAACCTCCAGCTTTTACACTGCTTGTCTTGCCTCTTTTGTAGAAAGACGTCTTTGTTTTTTCTCAACACATCTTAAAGGCTGTTTGGCTTGATTTATCTTGTTTTCATTTATTTGGGGGGGGGAGTTGGATATTTCTTTTGGGGGTGGTGGAGGGGTACAGCAGTGGTTTGCACAACACTGTCTTACTCTGTAGATCTGGCTATTCTGAAATTCATTATCTAAGTATCCCCAGACTTAGTCTGTACTGGTCCTCCTGGGTATTGTGATGACAGGTGTGATGACCCATCCCGATGGTACAGAGTTGTGACAGGGAGCCATCTGATAGGTTAGGCCCACTAAGTGCCCTTTGAGTTGATGCTTTCAGCCCCTAGTAGGTTTGTTGGGGAATGACCCTATGTAAGAACAGCAGAGCCTGCGGTTGGAAAACAGTGAATGCAGGCGTAGATGGTTCTTAACGTCAAGAACCATTGGGTAAAGGAGGATGAGATTGAAACTCTCAACAAAAGTTACCAGATGGCAAACAGTCAGGGACATGACAGCTAGGCCTCTCTCTGTGCCCACGATTTCGGCTTTCAAGCCAGGTGGGGTGGTGAGTGCCTGTAACTGGGGGAGATCCAAAGCTTGAGGCCAGTCTGGATACACAGTGAGATCCTGTATATCAGGAAAGAAAGCAATTGCAAGTTTGGTTTAACTGTAGTAATGAAGGTGATTGTTAATTAGACAGGGCTTTGTATCCCTGGCTATCCTCGAACTCACAAAGATCCAGTGGCCTCTGGTTTCCGTATTGTTTTAACAAATAGCATTTCCTTTTATTATGGGGCAGCAGCTGTGAGTAGTCTAAACAAAGACAACCTAAGGAAATAGATTGAAGTTGTTGCAGGGTAATGTGACAGGAGGTAGAAGGCATTATAGGGAGCTGAAACATCCTCAGGATAGTTTATCATCTGCACTTTGTGTCATAAAAGTGTGCCAGGAACTTAGCCCACTCCTGAAGTCGTGTGTGTGTGTGTGTGTGTGTGTGTGTGTGTGTGTGTGTGTGTGTGGTGCGAGCGCGCGTGTGCAAACATTCACTACAGTCAGCAGAAACTTCATTATGTTAGAAGTGTCTCTTCCCTGAAATGTTCTGGATCAAAAGTTTCAGTTTTGGGTTTTGGAGTAGTTGTGTCTAATGAGGTATTTAAGGAGTACACCCCAAGTCAGCCACGAAACTCATTAATGTTTCACGCACACTTTAGGCATGGTGTATTTTAAATCACTGTGGGTAAAGCTCTTTGTGTCCACTGACTCCTCCCTGTGTGGACAGTCTGGCTCTTTGACAGCATGCTCCCAGTGAGCAGTCATTCCATTACACCTGCTCACCACACACGTACAAGTAGGGAAAAGTGTGGTGTACTGATAACAGGGAGAAAATTGCACGGTCAGGCCACACTTCCCGGATCAGCCGCCTAACAGCAACCCGCAGTCCAGCTGCAGTACCGTTTATCATTAAAATGTTGCTAGGCCTGGTGTTATTATTTGGGTGAGAAACGTCAAAAACAGCCAAGGACCTGGGAAATGGGTCTTCTAGAGATGTGTGAGGATATGTTGCTGACAGGCTTTTTCAAATCTTGTCTCAGAAGTCTCGTGTGTGATAACCGCCCTGCCTTCTAGTAGGACTGCACACGGCCTACCCTCCTGTAAGCCCCTCGCACGGTTGCACCATGTTGTACGGAGACACTGTTTGGCAATGTTGTCGACGGCGTCGTCTTCATCACTGTTACGGTCATCATGGTGCAGGACCAGGCCCTGTGTTTTACCGTGGCCTGGTGAATGAAATGCGTCAACACCTGGCGCATTGCTGATGTCTAGAGTATCTTCAGTACTCACGTTGTCCATGAATCTCTCTGCTGCAGATAACCTTTAAAATGTTAATCCATTCCTTCTTTTCAGCTGCTGCAGTCGGCATGTGATTGTTGACGGTGCCTTTCAGCCTTGAGTTCTCTGTGGCAGACGGACCGTTGGCCGTTTCACAAGCAGCACACCATCCAGCAGCGTGTGTCCACCGCTGACACTCGGTCAGGGAGCTTCATTCATTCTTAGAGCTTTCTGCCGTGTTTTTTCTGCTTCCGTTAATTTTGGCTCACTGTCAGCACAGACCTTCAACGGTTTCTGTGTCGCCAGGTCACGTCTGGTAGTGTCCACGTACCGCACGCACTCTTTAGTAAGATGGGTTGCACTGGCGCTGCCGTCCAGTTTTTCCAGCAGGCTGACTTTCTGTGCCATGCTTCCTTGACTGTCAAGGTTCCAGACCTGGTTTTCACATTAGGAATTCCCAGCCATCCAGCCTCTGTGCTTCTCTGGGGATTTTTAATTAAAAGAGACATTATAGCTATTTGAATTTAATAGGCAAAACAAATAGCAAAGTGTGGCACAGTTGACTAAAAAATTTGTGGCAAAAGTGTGCATGACCAAAAATGTGGTTATAAGGCAGAGAAATAGCTGTGTATTGTATATTCCTTCGTGGAATAATGTTAAATGTGTTAAGCCCCGTAATAAGACTGTTGTTTAACACCCCTTTACTGGTGTTTAACGCCCCTTTACTGGTATTTAACGCCCCTTTACTGGTATTTAACGCCCCTTTACTGGTATTTAACGCCCCTTTACTGGTGTTAGGCTTCCCTTTACTGGTGTTAGGCGCACCTTTACTGGTGTTAGGCGCACCTTTCCTTGACTGTTTCTAATGCACTGCCCAGTGAGCATGCTTGGAAAGCTGCTGCAACCCTCTGGGCCCCCTGCATGCTCTCCTCCTGCCTTCTGGGCTCCGTCTGTACCACTCCAGTGGTTGGTTTAATTACTTAGCTTTTCTCATCAACTATTTTATTCTTTTCCTCTGGGTCCTGACATTTTTGCTTCGTTTTGTATTTTCTTCACCTTCCTGCTCTGAAATTACCCTGGCAGGTACAGAAGTGACATCATGTGCTATATTATTCCTTCTTTTCATTTTTCAAATTAATTTTTTCTTTACATGCCAATCCCAGTTCCCTCTCCTTCCTCTCCTTCTATCCCCCCACCCCCACCCCCGTCCCATCTGCTACCCAAAGAGGGTAAGGCCTCCCTAGGAAGTCTACTAAGTCTGTCCTATCATCTCTTTGAGGCAAAGGCAAACGCACCTCTCCACCCCACACCCCTGTGCCTAGGCTGAGCAAGGTGTCTTTCCATACAGAACGGGCTCCACTAAGTCAGTTTGTACGTTAGTGTTAGATCTTGGACTCCCTGCCAGTGGCCTCATACATTGTCCCAGTCACACCATTGTCACCTATATTAAGGGAGTCTAGTTCAGTCTTATGCAGGTTCCCCATTTGTCAGACCTGAGTCAGTGATCTCTCACTAGCTGGGGTCAGCTGGTTCTGTGGGTTTCCCCATCATGGTCTTGACTCCTTTGTTCATGTTATCACTCCTCCCTCACTTCGATTGTACTCCATGAGTTTGGCCCAATGGTTAGTTGTGGGTTTCTGCATCTGCTTCCATCTGTTTCTGGAAGAGGGTTCTAGCTTCTCTGGGCTTGTGGATTGTAGGCTGGGTATTGTTTGCTTTATGTCTGGTATCCACTTAAAAGTAAGTACGTACTATATTGTCTTTCTGGTTCTGGGTTACCTCACTCAGAGTGGTTTTCTCCTAGTTCTGTCCATTTGTCTGCGGATTTTAGGATGC